TCTTGGGCAAGTGTAGAACAATTAGACATTTGCAATTAAAAAACTAATTTTAATTTTTTAATATACACAGCAATCGAAGCCAACTTGGGACCGACGCATCCGATCCACTCTGCTCCCAAACCGGTTGTTCACCATTCAGCTCCTAAACCAGTGGTCCACCACACCGCTCCTAAACCGGNAGTTCCGACTAAACCAAAGACTGTTCCGGTAGCCAAACCAAAAGTCCCAACTCACCCTGCCGCCAAGCCAAAGGTTCCCACTCATCCGGCTGCTAAGCCCAAAGTGCCCACACATCCAGCAAAGACTCCTGTCAAAACGCCAACTCACCCCAAAACTAACCCAAAAACTCCAACCCACCCAAAAACAAACCCCAAAACACCAACGCATCCCAAAACAAACCCCAAAACGCCGACTCACCCGAAAACCGACCCGAAAACGCCGGTGAAGCCTCCGGTGAAGACCCCGGTGAAGCCGCAGCCAAACCCCGCTCAGCCCAAGGTGACCACTAAAGGTCACGATGCCATTGCCGACCACGCCCGCAGCATGATCGGCACTCCCTACAGCTGGGGCGGTGGCACGCTCAAGGGCAAGTCCTTCGGCGTGGACCGCGGCGCCAAGACCTTCGGCTTCGACTGCTCCGGCCTGGCGCGGTACTCGGTGTACCAGGCGACGGGAAAGACCATCGCCCGCACGGCCGCCGCTCAGTTCGCCGACAAGCAGTGCTCCCATGTGCCCTTTGAGCAGCGACGAGCCGGTGATCTGGTCTTCTTCAACGATGGCGGTCGAATCCACCACGTGGCCGTCGTCAGCGGAAACGGCAGCACGATGATCCACGCACCGCAGACCGGTGACCACGTCAAGGAGTCGCCCATTCGAATGAAGGGACACATGTCGGAGGTGGCGAGATGCTAAGCATATTTTCATCTATTGATGATTGGTAATCTTATTAATGACAGCTTATTTTACAAAGTACAAAGGACTGTTTTAGGTTGTTTTGTGCACACACAATAAATAAAGTTTTATAAACTATAACAGTTTTTATTTCTTAAAATTACTTTTAGTTTTTTTGTCACAGTAAGATTGATCAGGTTTCCAAAAACTAAAACTATTACTACTCAAATAACTAGATGGTGCTACCGACTTGGCATCGCATGTAAAAATAAAAATAGAAAAGTACAAAACACATGTTCAACAAAATGCATCAACAGTACCACAAAGTGCGACACAATAAATCAATCGATTGCAGCTGTAAACGGAAACACCACTTTCCTTGAGACAAGTGACCACCACCATCATGTGCATTGATTGTTGCGCCTCTCTATTACGCGTTATCAAATGCGATTAGTCAAATCACAGTTGATGGACAGGCGTGGGTCGGCGATGGCAGGTAGTGCTTAGGTGCACTCCTTTCTTCCACAAACACTGATCGTCAGACAGCCCACATCTAATATTGTGAAGTGTGTCGTCACGGTGGGTTTAGAAAAGAGGGGATAAGGAATAATTTGATTATATTGTGCACACCAGTGAATTTCTCGCCACCTCTATCATTAGTGATTACCTTTTTCCAAAAGTTGTGCCTCTCGCATTTTTGACACTTTGCATTTCCTGATCAAGGATTAAAAAGAAAGAGAAAAACCATTTTTAAACCCATTTTTATTTAGCACTGTTTTATTTGGTTGCAATTTTAAGCAGTTGAGACAATTGGTTGAGGTTCAGAAATCATGAGATAGAGGAGACTGTAGAGTTAAAAGAAAGTGGAAGTAAGTTCAAAAACTGAAATTAAGCAGATTGGCGCATCAGATATGACTTTTGAGCTGCTTGACCAGCTGTGATAGTTGTAAATTGCAGAATGCAGCTAAAGTAAAGATGAGATTCAGTAAAAACCCAGATTGAATTAATAAATAGAAGCCAAAAGTGGTAGTGAAATAAAGGCAGTAAGTAAGTTTGTGCTGTCATACTGATAATGCTGTAGAGAGTAAAGAAGAGCAGATCATTGTGAAGGTGAGAAAAGAGAGAGAAAGGGGCTAGTAAGTGGTTTAGGAACGATAAGCCTGCGGAAGGAAGGAGTTGATGTCCCAGAACATCACCGAACGCTTTGAGGGAAGTTGCTGCTGGAGGGAGGGCTCCTCTGATCCTTCCGGCTCAAAGTCCTGTTGAATCTTCTGCTGCTCCAGTGGCTCCTGCTCCTGTTCCTGCTGAGGCGGTGGGGTTGGTCGAGAAGGTGGCGGTGGGGGAGGCTGATGTGAAAGTAATCGGCAAATGTTAGTCTACTTTGAAATGGGTAATAACCCTTGGCTATCCTTACCTGAACAGACGGGGGTGGCGGTGGTGGTCGCTTTGCCGGTGGCAGTGGTCGAGGTGGTGGTGGTTGCGGACGAGGGGGCTGCTTTGATGGAGGTTGCGGATAGTTTGGCTGTTGTGGGGGTGGCTGAGGACGGGATGGGGGCTGCTTTGAGGGATAGTTTGGCTGCTGTTGGGGAGGTTGTGGGCGAGGTGGCTGCGGAGCAGGAGGATAGATTGGTCGTGAAGGAGGGGGTGGTGGAGGTCTTTTGGCAGGTGGTTGCGGATAGTTTGGCTGCTGGGAAGGAGGTGGTTGAGGGCGTGATGGAGGCTGCTTAGAGGGATAGTTTGGCTGCTGCTGAGGGGGTTGAGGACGAGGTGGCTGAGGAACGGGAGGATATTCAGGTTGGGAAGGAGGAGGTGGTGGTGGTCGTTTGGCAGGTGGCTGAGGGTAAGTGGGCTGTTGTGGTGGAGGCTGAGGACGCGGGGGCTGCTTCGATGGAGGCTGAGGATAGGTGGGCTGCTGCGGTGGAGGCGGCTGAGGAATGGGCTGGTTTGGGGGCAGCTTACTGGGAGGCTGCGGTCGTGGTGGCTGAGGACGGGAGGGAGGTGGGTAAACAGGCTGGGGGCGTTGGGGCTGTTTCACCGGTGGCCTAGGAGTGGGAGGTGGTTGTGGCCGCTGTGGCACTTTACTCGGTGGCCTGGGTGGAGATGGAGGAGGAGGCTCAACAATTTGCTGTTCATCATCAACCTCCTGCTGTTGTTGCTGCTGTTGTTGCTGATCCTGTGCATCATTCACCTGTTGGTACCTCTGAGCCTGGGCATCTTCCACAACTGGACGACGACGAAGGTTGCCTGAGTGAAGTAGTGAGAGTGTGTTTGTAAATCAAGGTTTTGGTTATTGGGCAATGGAAACGAGAAGTTGCCGTCACTTAGATGACCATGAAAGATGCC